GGGACTATAAAAAAGAGTGCATTTAGAGAAGGTGTGCATTTAGAGAGGGTGCATTTAGGGAGGGTTCTCTGTATATAATTTTTATTTGATACACCGGATATCATATTATTATTCGATAAAGCGGGAATTTCGATATAGCGGACAACCCAGAGTTCCGGTATATCGAATTTCACTGTGTAATTACAAAAAATTCTTATAACTCATTTGCAATTTATATAAACCGTCAAGTGATTGCACAGATGATTCTGACCAGTGAAGCGCACAAAATAGTCGGACGACTGAACCCTAGCCCCACATTGTTTTTTTTAAATTATGTCACGACATTTTATTGCATGATTTTGATAAGATGTGCTTTGGATTAAAGATTCTTACATTCTATGAAGAATACAGATAAGATCCCGAAATAAACTGATTATTGATTTAAAGTATAGGGAATTATCAATGTTTGTTTGTTCTAATGTGTTATTCCTGAACACGCATTGACATAAAATTATCATCATTATCAACGCTATCATTTCGACGCATGTCTATTTCACCATTGTCTTCCATATCAATACCTTGTTGAGATGACAGTTCGCCAAGAAGTGAATACATCTTATTGGAAATGGTTGCCAACTCATCAAACTGTTTAATCAAATTTCTAACTGAATCCGTGGAGAGATATCTTAAACTCTCCGAGTAAGCCTGAGTGAGAGAATCATCTACCGGAAGGTCATTTTTTGATATAATAACTGCAAATACTTGCAAGATCTTCGGGAAAAGGATAATTGCAATTAGTTTTGTCTAACCGCTCAGTGCAGTTAGCGAGTAAGAATAATGCATACCATCAAGAGTTCTTGGATCATGACATTAATCGAGGTTAAATCGTTCGACTCAATTTTTTCCTTCAACACTTTAACATTTGTAGCAAGTTGTTGAACGTGCTTTGAGACTATTGGTTGAATAACATCCGGTTTCTTTTCTTTGACCTATAGATAATTACCAAAATAGGTATTAAAGTCTACTTTCCCCAATTGAAACTCAAATATCAACAACTTACAAGACCAATCAATGATTTGAGCACGCTTAATTTTTCAGGTAGCATGTTGAGTAAGATTTGTGAATCGGAGTTTAACATTCGCTCTATCAACGTTACGAAGTAAATGTGTCCATAGGCATTTTTGACTAGGCCATTGGAAGAAAACTTCTCGTAGATTCCTAATAATATATCGAATATTCGATCGACATCAATATCCATCATTTCGAAAACAATCAACGAGCCTATAAGAAAAGCACTAATTAGCATGTGATATAAATTTTAACAATAACTATACGTTAAACATCGACTTACAGAGTTGCACCACTTTATCATATTTTCCCAATTTCATATTAGAAACGGCGATTTGTTCCACGATCCTTAAGTAAGGTTCGTACAGTTTTTCTTGCAGTCGCAATATTTCTTCATTTTGTAACTTCGATATGAAAGGCCTGTAAACATGGACCGAAGGACCGGATAACTGGGTAGAAATACTGGCATTTTCAGATTCTTCGCCAAGTAAATTGAGTTGATAGAAGGTCGAACGAGTTCCGCCAAATTTCAATGCTAAATCTAACAGACATATTATTTAACATCAAAAATTATGCTGAAAATCGAAAAAAATCGATCCTTTATCATCAACATTAATACCTTCTTGCGTAATCGCAGACATATTATGTTGCCATTGTGAATGTTTGTCGATAAATAATTGTAGTAGTCCGGTAGCAATATTCTCCATGTATTCCAGCTTGAGCAATGCGCATAGAATCTCTGTGAAAAATGAATTTTGTTGTGAGCAACGTTTTAGGTCAAATTCTAACATTTAACTATGTTACCTTACCTGTGGCTTTTACATAAAACTCGTGTTCAACATTTGGATGTAAAAATGACACAAGAATGGTTACAAATTCATTCCATGTCTTCCACGATTTGAAATAACTCTGAAAAACTATATATGAAAGTTAGGGATCGAGTCTAACCTATTACTTAGTTTGAGATCATATTGAAGATAAATTTTAACCTTCATCCGATGGATATAACAAGATGATATTTAAATAATTATGCATCACATCTAAACATTTACGCATCGTCTCATCATCAGGATGTTTGTCTTTAACGGCATTGACGACATTAATGTACTGAAAGAATCGCGTCATTGAGTACGCACATTTTAAAACCAGGGTAGATTAAATAATGCAAAATGGAATTACCTGGGGCATAAAATCAAACCCGTAACTTTTGCAAAACGATTGAGCGTCTTCGATAGAATCGCGGTTCAAGTATTGATAAAGTCTAAATTGAGTGAAATGATGATTTAAATAACGTGTATTAAATAAACAACAAGTTATGTAAAATCAATTCACCTTATCATGTATTGGATCTTACGAGCCAAAGGAGCAGAATTAGCCAATGATGTTATTATTTGATCCCAGGTTTTCATTCGAAAACCGGGTGACGCGTCTGCACTGATTCTTAAGAGCTCAAGTAGTTCATCAGTTTTCTTTGAGATTTTGGAAAATGCAGTTGTTTATGTGTGTTAAGTACCCAATCAATCACAATTAAATTGACCAATCTAATGCATAAAATAAAATATTTACATGATCTTCGTAGAATTCTCCGAATATCATGCTGTTGAGAGCCCAGGAGAAATTTTGGGCTTCCATCCATTTCTGATGATACTCTGGTGAAATTCGGCATCCCATCAATATCAAACCGTAATATTTTGGAAGCGTTGACTGATTATAGGCGATATTCTCCGTCGCGTGGCTAATGCTGAAAAAAAAGAAGTCAGTTGTAATCTTGATTTCGAAAAAAAAACCTGAAATCCGTCGAGATTTCCAGTACCTGACATAATACATGTGAAGGTGGGATACTAATTCAACATTGGAAATGAACGCTCGAACGTTATCCGGATAATCTTCACACACCTTGTGCCAGAATGTAATAATTTCCTGGCAAAGAGAAAAAAAAAGCACGTAAATAATCATATGCGTGAACATAATTCACAATTGCACCAATTGAAAACTCACTTTTTTGTCAAAATCGCAATCGGTCCTGACAGTATCTATATTTATGAATGTAGAGCCAAATTTTTCATAGTATGATTGGAACTAAGATTGTGTTTGTGATAATGGAGTTCGTGATTAGGTGAACAGTTTAAGTCACTGAATAAAATTAACTTTAGGTATTCACCATTTCCTTTTCTTTCGGAGATCTCACGCATTTCGTCAAGACCCTAAAGTAATTGCTGAGCCTCCATCCGAAAGGTTCAGCTGCATAAAGTTAGTGCTACAACAATCTTAGATTCGATCATATTTAAGAACATTATTATCGAGAATTATTACCTCCTCGTCGATTATACGTTGTTCTCCAGCATTGATCGATATTATCAATGTACCGTAGTAGAATCGAATATTGTTTTCGCATGTTTATTGTGGCTTCGATCAACGCCTGCTCGCCTTGAGCTTCGTCCACTTTCCGCAATACCAAGATACCAAAGAGACTCTCTGCACGTTGTCGAATAGTTTCATATGGACTGAGAAGGTAATCCGGAAACCAGTCTTGCAGGTAATCCAAGAGTAATTGTTGGACATAAACTCCGATGGATGAGCTACACAGAGCCTCAATCAACCCGAGGCATTCTGAACTAACTTGTGGGGCATTGGGACTGTTGGCCTTTGCAAGCTATAAATGTACATGGTGAATTTTTGGTATCCGTAATTTGAAAATAAAGAGCTGTTCACGTACCTGCAATACCTCTCGAATAGTGAACGCAATCCTCTCGTTTGTGTAAAGATCTTGTATCTGTGCCATAGAATAGAGAATTTCCAAATGTGGCCTTACGTGGTCTGCTGTATACGTGTCGGCTGCGCGAATAAGCTGCTTTATCAGTTCTTCGGACATTTCTTTACTGTGAATTGCAAAATGTTGAAATATGTCTCGAGATGACGCCGAATCAATACAGTCTCGAACTTGCTTCATGAAAAACACGAATTGATCATCTGGTTCTTTGCGTTCAAATAGCAACCTAATCTCATGATCCCTTAATTTCAAGGGAGATTGCAATCCTGAATTCATCGAATTATCACCATATTCTATATTCGTGACATCGCACCCTAACAATAAAGTTTGTAACGTGACCAACAGGTAACGGAAAGGTGGCAGCGAAAATTTATCACCCATTCTTTTTTTACGCGATTTCAATGGTGATATCTCATCTAATAGGAATAGTTTGACTAATTCTCCTATGAATCCACGTTTGATCATGTATTCGCGTTCCGGAGTACCGAAATTGGCAATATATGAAAGTAAGTAGAAAAATTGTTCGAAGTTGCGCCAATATGCGTAGGCAGTGGGGAATAAATTAAAAAGTGATTCGCACAGTCGAACGATTGTCCCAGAGGGATGACACATGTAAGCCTGGGTAGAATCAACGATCATGGACGAGCCCGAATTATCCGAAGTATCGATCATGAACCTTTCCAGCCCATAAGCTTCCAAGCTACCATTACGAAGAGTTCTTAAGACAAATATTATTAATTCAACAATTTGTTCCCTAACATCTTGTACATAGCAGGACATTAGAATTTGTTGTAAGTAGTTCGGATTATTGCCAATCAGCCTGGAGATGAACCATTGACAAGCAGGCAAATGTGACTGGAATCGCGATTTGAGCATATCGATGCACGTTGGCAGACTACTGTTTTCTTTTGCACGCGAAAGCACCCCTAACACGAACTCTGTACCGAGTTGAATTGAGCGCAAGGTCAGGTCAATTTCTTCGCCGTTTATAACAATGGTTGGGTTTTCGTTTAGCTTGACAGAATCAAGAACATACATCATAAGGTTGAAGTAACCGGGATCAAATATGTTTTTGTCCTGAAGAAAATTGATGTTCTCTTCCCAAACTGAATTGTAGATGTCAACGGGGACATTGGTGATCTTATTCTGTGGGACATCTGAATCGCTCTGTGAATTCTCACACCTTTCGTAAAAGAGCATGTAAGCATTGTACTGTTTTGAAAACATCCTTGAAACGTTTTTTTGTTGGGCCGGATCCCATTGAGTTATGCATTCGGGTCCACCAAAACATTGTTTCGGAATATCCTTATGATCAAAAATTTCAACCGTTGAGTCATTGAATTGATACCAACGACATTCATTGATATCCTCGTAGAGCGGCTTTCTTTCTCGGATGAATGAATAATAATGACCCGAGTCAGCTGTTCCTGTATGAACAAGAACCCCAACAAGCTCGTATTCGAATTGGGATTTATCATCTATTTTGCTATCGTCGATTTGACCGGACTCTTTTCTTATCAGATAATCCAAAGTATAGGGCTCCATATTGATACGTGTCGGGAATTCAAAATATTCGTTAATCTTGACGCGTTTTAGTAACTCCATATCGAAATCAAAACGTTTCAAATGCATTATTAAATTTTTGGGAAGTGTTTTGATGCAAGACCTGTTGCGCATGAAATTCAGAAAGAGTTAAATAATCATATTTTTATATAATAAATTAGGAGATGCGGTTTGCAACTATAATACAACCTTTTGATAGCATCAACGGATTTTTCACATTTGGCGCAGAAGTATTGATTGTCTTGAAGACAGTTACAATTTTAATGATAGATAAGTTCGCTGATTAAATGATACAAGTTTCAAAGCATTGACCTACCTCCATCAAGTAATTCACCCTCGACATATAACTCCAGACTTTCTTCTACATTCCTCTTATTTTTCACTTCACACTGAATAGCAAAAAACGATTCTTCCTTCTCCGATATATGCCCGCAATCCCGTGACTTTATTTGTTGGACTAGGGTTCCACCAAAGTGTTCCTTCAGAAGCATCGCCTGAGAAGTGCCTGATACACTGCTTTCTAACCGGTCGAAGAGTCCATTAAAATACTCGTCGACGTCCATCTGAAGCGCCACGTTTAACGGTTGACCATCATAGTCTCTATATGCGTGACAGAATTGAGTTGCCTCATAAGCCTTCTTTTCACTTTCTTGCAGATGACCAAATACCACTTGAAGTTGGTAGAGAAGGCTCTCATCTTTATTATCATCAAGAACGGGTGCATCAAAAAGACTTTTTCGAAAAGAGGAATTCATGTAAAACTGTTGTACAATCGAATTAACATAACATGTAGCGCCCAAATTTTGTAATCCGACATAACCCGCCGAAGATTTTTGACAAGTTTTGGGACAATAATTCCAATTATCATTCAACTGTTCGCCCCGGTCTAATTGCTTGAGATAAAGTTCGCTTATGCGAAAGAAATTTTCTGGGCAATCTTTAACAAGTTCATTTAAAAGTTCAAACGAAGCATTCCGTGAGTTATCCAGTTTGCATTTTGGCGGAAGGATAGAGCCAGCGTGATCAACAGTTGAAACTTGAAACAAGCAGTCATGAAAGATTAGTTCAAGCAACCTATGGAAAATTGATAAATAAGTTTATCATAAAAATTTGCAGAAACATTATGGTATATGTACTCCAAAATACATACATATCATTAGGAAGGCGCTTGAATTCTGGATATCCTGAAACAATGATTTTCATTAATTGCGTTAAGCCAACGATGACAGTGTCTTCATTTAAAGAATTAAATTGCTGCAAGAAATCATGCACATCTAAATGAGATCAAAGAATTTTCGTGAAAAACCTCACTAAATTTTATTAAAATACAGACCTCTTTGATGGGATGTTGTTTGATTTGTTGTTTTAAGTTATTATATATTACAGATAAACTCATATTCTTAGAATTCGTGATATATGGCATTAATTGTCCCATCAAATCGAAGTATTCTTTGCTGGAATCTACGTACTCCTCAACTTCAGGCAAAAATGACCACAGTATTGCAAGAAATGATTCAAGCATAGGAGGTATCTCATCTGAAATTCCGTTTGATGGCGCGTTGTTTGCAATATCTTGGCAAAATTTAATTATAATGTTCGCCAAAAGGATCCTTGCATCTTCCAGTTGACATCGGACCAACGATGAAATTAGCCAATCGTGCAGATTTGGGTAACCGATAAAACTTGAAAGCGCAGATTCATCGCGTAAACACAAGCAAGTCAAAAGTTTCATTGAATGACGAATGATTGTAAGATCCTCGTTGACTAAAGGAGAAAAAAGAAGTTCGTAAGAAGACGCAACTTGTCGTATTCCTATAAAAATAGTTTCCTATTACCTACCTTGCTTCTGAGAAGGATCAACACATTTTCTAACTATTTCAATCAATTTTTCAACCAAAGCTTGGGATTCGAAACGTTTAAAGACGTCAACATTAACAGGCGAATTGTCTGATATATGAATTAACCAATCAGAAGGGATAAAAGAAAAGCAAACTAGATAAGCGGGAAAAAAGAAAAAAGATAAGTGAACCTACCAACTGCAAGGAAACTAATAATTTTTAACAACAAGCCAAGACAAGCTCGTTTTGTCACACTATTTTGATATCCCTCTATAATAGTCTTAATATTATTGGCAGACGAATCTTGTATCAGCAATGATAGTAAATATTCCAATCCTCCACTTTTCACAAAACGCTTGGACCACTCATCACCGTCGTTAAACTCGTCGCCACCTCTTAAGAGCCAATCGATAATTTGAAGAGCATACAATAACCTAAAAGGGGAACGTGAGACGAGAATATCCTCCCAATGCAAAGAAGAATCTAGTGACTTTAATGTGTCCAATGAACGTGAATTTGTAGGGAGTCTCATGAGAAGATCCCAAATCTAAGAATGATAAAATGTTCTGTTATGAAATTTCTCTCCATTCTGTATCTAAATTTCAAAAAACCAACCTGAGATGAATAAGATTCATCTAATTCCAACAAGGAAAAAAATCGATCTATATGCTTGGAAAGCATATTAACTGGTAGATCAGACTCTGTTATCTATTAAGGTGTCAAATTGAAATTACATTAGGGATGATTATGGTAAAACGAAAATAAATAATAAAAAGCATGACCAAACCTCTTCGTCTATAGGAGATTCCATTTTATCCGAATCCTGTGTACTTTTTCCATCCGTTGGGCGTTTCATCACCATAAATACTTGTCGGTCGGTTATTTTTAATTTTTTTAATGACATCGTGTTAGATTCATTGAACAGTTCTTTACCCGAGGTAATTAAGCGAATACTTCCAGGGCGTGAAACACCAATACGAGATGCTATTTTTTGGCGCAGTGAAAGGAGATTTTCCAACGGATGAATTTGTAATTCAAAGCTACGGGATGCCTTTTTTTTTTCAAAAAAAAAAAACAAATTTTCAATAATCAATCATCCATTGTTTCTCCAATAATGTGGGATTACACTTACTCCCATATTTGTCACATTGACCTTGACGGTAATCCATTCAGCGTCATTTAACATTCCATGACGTCTTATAGGTCGTTTTTCCAATTGACAATTACTATATTTTGTATCGAATTGATCCATAAACGATTTTAGAACTTGTAAGCATCTCTTAAATTTCAAAGCATCAGCAGCCAATTCTTCAGAGGGTGGTGTTTTCATCTCGGCAAAATCCAAGGAATGAGATAATCCATTTGCTGCCCCGAACAGGTAAGACACGCATTTATCTACTAATAATTCACGATGTTTTCGCGCTAATATGCTGTAATTTTCTTGCTTCTTATCAGTCTAAAATGATCGATTGAGGTGAGATAATATAACTAGGCAATTTGAACAAAAACTATAACAAATAAATCTATCACCAACATTCAAGTGTAAATACACTAAAAAGACAATAGCTTCCTTTCCGACTGCCTCCTCTTCTGCTCGTAATGCTATATCCCAGATGAGATCAATACCAATGAGATCACCTTGTACAAGTATGCTCAACGGAGATTGTGATTGGGTGCTCGGTGAAGTCTAATGGACGATAAAATCGGAAAAAATGAAAGGTCAAAATAAGTATAAAATCTAATAAATAAATCGTAATACTTACTGAGCGCAATCGTGAATTCTTCGTGTTAACTTTGAGCAGACAATTCTTGGCATATTTAAAAGCTTGATCGGAAAAATGACTAACGTCCAATCTGGGAAGTCGATTGTTAAAGAAATGACTTATAAAATGATCATATTCTATTATGTTATCCAAGTATGAAAACGCTTCGTCCTGTTCTTGTTTTCCAATCGGATCGGCAACCAGACATTTCCAAATAACATCAGTCTGAGCTGTAGAAGTAAAAAATGTAATCGATTCGTGATTTGCCACCCATTGTAAAAATTGCAATCGCGAAATTAGTTGATCCCTCAGCAAAGCTACTCTCGACGGAGGTAGGTTAATTAAAATCGACGATCCAAATGTTGGTGCCGACCGGTCTTTATTTGATTTTAATGTATTAAGATTTTAGTGTGAAGGAAAAGGATGGAGAAATATAGAAATTATGTACCAAAAACTTACCAAGATCCATGCTTACAAAATTTCCAGATCTTTCTGCAAAACTTTTTACCGTTTTTGTCCAGTGTTCCAAATCGTCCAAAAACAATTGCGGTAAATTATAGGTTGATATGAGATGCTGAAGGTAATTGGCAGTGCTCAAAGGTTGGGTTTGGAAGGGTGGTGCTAAAGATTGATTGAAAAGCAATGTAAGTCAAATAATTTTCATCAACTTAAATTTAAACATGCTAACATAATCGAAATCTCGTACAAATAATCCTTGTCAAAATCCTTAGTGCCCACATTGTGCCGGGGTCATGTCTCTTCAAACACTCGATGCACATAACGAGTAATTTATTTCTATCTTCAACGTGAGTGTCACTCTGCAACAAGTTTGTTAATTCCTGACATGCTGCTTGGGCGATTTCCTGGTCTATCCCCGAGCTCGCAGTAGTTGATCCAGGAGAAGTCGGTGAGAGTATTTCAGCATTCATTAAAACTGGTATGGGAATAGACGAATCACAGAGTATACGCCAAAGCAAACGATGAGCTTCAAAAGATATATAATTAGTGCTCTAATTGGAAGAAAAAAAATTTCAATATTAATTATTATCAAAGCATTAGCTAAATAGTTTATGGATCAGACTTACCGCACCATTCGACCTTACACTATCCATGGTGGATTGCACTAATGTTTTTACTAATGTAAAAGTCTGGGTCTCTATAAAGCTCATTGGCATCTTCATCAATTTTTGAAACAGATAATCCCTTTGTTGCTGATCAAGATGTTCGGAAATGTCGATCAATACTTGACAAACACCGTGAACAATGCTACGATGTTGGTTTCCATCAACGGGAGCCCAAATTACATCCAGCTCACGTGAAGTTAATGATCGAGTGTGTATAAGGAATGTTAGAATGTCAGTACTGCGTTGAATAATTTCCAGATGAATATTTGATCCAAATATGTATTCAAGAATGCCATGTTCTCGTAATTTTTCATTTAATATACTATAAAATGATATTATTTAAAATTCCTTCGCAATAATTTGATTGAACTAAAGTGTTCAGGAAATATAAATGATTTTAATAAATACCGATGAATTTTATCAGCAGGATTCTCTTCGTCTACTTGAATGGCATCATCATCACCATCCACGCTTAAACTTCGCTTCCGGGTATTTCCCCTACGTCTACTTTTTTTAAGAACCCTTGCTTGCTTAAGTCCTAAAATAAGGGCTTCCTTTATTTCGTTCAACCCGGTCAACCTCAAGTCCAATCTTGAGGTCTTCAAAAGTCGAGCAGCAATATCAATTTTCAACTGAGAACTCTTAATAACTTGTTGTTCATCGGGTATCTCTTGGTACAACATATAATCACTATCATCATCGTCATCATCGTCCGACGACAACATGGAATGATAATTCCTTTCTATATCTCTTATAGTCCCGGAAACAGACGAAGGTAAGTTTAGAATCATGGACGTAACCATATGCACAATATTTGGGATTATCTTTTTTTCCTGCCGAATAAGAAATTCTTCCGGAATATTTGCAATTTGTTCTTGAACACATTGAGCTATTTTCATTACGAACTGCCTGAAATCCACGCCATTCGAGACGTAATGTCCAATCTTATATATTATTATTATTGCCATTATTATTTTTTCATATTAGTGAAATATTGGAATTAACATGTCCACTTAATTGTAATACAAACCTTATGAACCATTCGTATTAAACCATGGACATCCTTTAAGTCGAGGTTATTAAAAAGATACGCGTTGTTTCGTTGTTGGTGAGATTCTTCGACATAACCAAGTGCTCGAAGTACGGCGTCTAATCCACCTTTGCTGACGAACGACTGGATGGCTTCATATTGGTACTGGGATATACGTGGTTCCAACTTTTGGTGGTATAAACAAGTGCCAAGCATACATGAAAAGCTTTGTCAGCACATGCCACGAACGATAAACCACCTTTGCATTGATAAAATCGTCATTATTTTTTCTCTTGAACCTGTTCCATTGCTATGATATCACTTGTACTATCATCATATTCGACGGTCTAATTAATTTCAATTAAAAAATGTTAATTTTCGTAATTAACATTATATAGACAAAAATCTTGAGAGATTGATTATACTGACATCTGCCGCACCACCTACTATTCCCATCATGGAGGGATTGACTCCCACATCTAACCGTCTGGATTCGAATCGGCCGTCAAATCGACGATAAAACGATGCATTTTCATCTCCCAAGATACGAGCTACAGCGTCTTGCATAATTTCAGAAAGAGGAAATTCTTCACCAATATGATTAATATTTTCGGGTTCTTCAATAAGACGGATAGCAATTTCAAGAACCTTAGATAAATACTGATTAATAATATTAGCCATATAATTTCCTTGTGAAGAAGATACTGCCGGATACCTTTATGAAACCAGAGTTTTTAAAAAAATATAATGATAATTATGGACATTTGTACATGAATCAAACTCGATAATATTTACCCCCTGTTCAATAACACAATTGCATATTTCGGTAACCATTCTCTGTTTAGTGCATAAATTATTTGTTGACCGTCCTCAGAAGTGTTTTGACCGGCAAGAATATGATCCGCAAAAGTAATAAGACGCTGAACTGTTTTACACGGGTTTGGCTCTAAGTAATATATCGACAAAAAATTAATGATAGTTCAAATGCGCCATAAAATCTAGTCAAACAACGCATACCTTCTCTAAGTCGTACCACATATTCTTCCCAATTGGTTACATGATCATCGTCCTTTGACCTCCGTCGAGAACTCGAAGCTGATGTCTGCGAGTGCCTCCTTCGCTGCCCAGGTTCACTGTCATCATCAACATCATCAGACACATAATCCTCATCGTCTTCAGATGAAGAAGTAGTATGTCTATTATCCTTTCTACTGTTACGACCACGATGAATTGAATGTTGTTGTCGTGACGCCTCCGAAGCTAAAGCAATCCTCTTTTTGGGATGTTGCTCATGATCACGACGGGAAACGTGAGTAATTGGTTTTGCCATTGCGACATCATCATCATGACCATCATAGTCATCAATAATTTCTTCATCAACCTCTTCTATTTCATCCTCTTCTTCATCATCTTCCTCCTCATCAACCTCATCATCATCATCACTACTACTTGAAGCCTTCGAAGCTTGGCGACATAAAAGATCCTTTGATAAATTATCCTTATCGCTATTCACCGCGTCAGGATCAATCACTGCCGCGTTTTCCATTTCTGCCTCAATAAGTAAGTCACTCTTCCTTTCCAAATTTTGTTTTTCAATACCACGCAGTTCATGACCGTTATAATCTTCTTGATGAAGGGATTCCCGGTCTACGGGTAATTTCTGTGCCATGGTTCAAATAAATGGAAGATATATAAACTTTATGAGAGAATATATTGCCTTTGTGCCACTAAACTAACACAAGTAAGTTTATTTTTGTCTCCGGTTTTCGGAAAATGTAACCCTTTAAGAGGAAAACACGCGTGCAATATGAATGAAATCAAAGTTACAACCCGCAGAACAAGGAATGCGGTGTAAACTTATAAAAATGGCGTTATGTATGTTTGTAATTACAAAAACAATAAACACAGAGTAACCGATAAATCGAACTAAATGAAAACCGCGTTACCCTCCTATAAATCAAGCAGGTCCGAGAGTTTAAAATGTAAAAAAAAAGCCACTCGTCCAGTAAAGAAAGAAGGGATAAAATGCCAAATTCCGGTGAACTTTGCACTTTTGTTACGAATTCGGTTTGTGTAACGTTATACTTATGACGTCTCAAATTGTAGAAATTGAGCGAACTTTGTTTCTGTCTTACGTGACTGTGAATGTGTTACAAGAATTAATAAATTCTTTAAATTTATTTAACTAATAATATATTTTTGTTAAGTGAAACATTTCTTGCGATCTTTTAGATGTTATATAATTATTTTGAAAAAAAAATTTTTTACAAAAAAAAAATAATTATATATTTAATTTTAGAATTTAACTTATTGTATTAATACAAATATATTTTGTACAAATCAAATAAAAAAATATAAATAATAGTAAGAAAATAATTAAAAACTAATAATAATTAATTTGTTTTTTTGTTTTTTTTTAATAAAAAATATCAAATATACAAATTTATTTATTAATTATTTATATTCAATATATTATACAGTGTGATGCAAAAAATTTTGGAATTTTTTATTTATTTATTACTCAAAAACTACTGCATAGAAATTAATAAA